GATGCCAAAATATGAAGACACAGCCAGCAGCCAGTTAGCTTAGCTTAGCATAAAGACAGGAAACAAGAGCAAATGGAAAACTTAGCTCTGTCTAAAGGTAAGGACTCCGGCAAGTTAGACATTATTGTAATATTTATTACGGAAACATAACTAGTTACCCAAAAAAAGTATTGTTTTACAGAATCAGTGTGTCTAACAGTCAAGATTCAAAGCAAAAAAATTGTTGATATATAATCCTGAATCACGCACCCCTGCAAGGAAGATGCTGCCGGAGATCATGGGTCATCTTTGAAAAGATGTGACAGCACCCCCCCCCCCCTCCTCAGTGCATTTAACAATAGTGCTGCATCACCCCCTCAAGCTCAGGGCCCCCTTATAGTCCTGCCCTTTTCAACCCTGCTAGCATCAGCTCTGAATATTATTCATAGCACCTTGTCTCTATCACGGCATCTGTAAAAACTAAACACGGTTATCCTAAAATTAATGAGCCGTATCCACCCCATTACATTTATCTGTTTAGTGGTGTTTTGGGCCTTCCTTTAGGGCATTATGCATGCTCTTCTGTTCATATTTATAACCCAGGCTTTTTATTAGCAGCGTAGCGGGGTGCTAACAGTTGGGAGGCAGCCTGTGCTTTGATGGTGATGGCAGGCGGCTTGGCGCTGGCCAAATGTGACGGGGAGAGAGGATCAGCTGCCAGGCCAAGGGCCCCATGGAAGGGGAGGAGAGGAGAAGTGAGGACTGGAGGAAAGAAAGAGAGAGTGGCTTAAGTCAGAGAATAGAAAGTAGAACTTAGTGAATATTGGTACACAGCTCTCAGCCTTCTTGGCTTCGTGAGAGGTCAGTCTTATCAGTCAGTCAGTCATATATGTGGCTTGCTATTGGAGTGAAGCATAAGTGGGGAGTAAAAAGGTCACAATTCAAGTGATTTGACCTAAGCTAAAAAACTGTGCAGTGACCTGACCCTAACCCCAACCCTAATGGGAATAAAAGGAGTTTTTCCTTTTTGACACTTCTGTTGACACTTCTTGTGGCTTTGCTATGTCTGCTAAACTGTGCACTTTCTAAATATTATATAGCCAAAAGAAGACCTTAATTTTTACTTGGACCATACATTGCTTTTCAGTTCTAACAGACAACTTCTTTCCCTTCCTGTAGAGTTCCTATCTCCATTATCTCTCCAGTACATTCCTATAAAACAAAAAATTAAAAAACTAACTGAGAAGCATATTTTTTTCTTGAAGGCTGACAGTGACCGAAGCCACAGCCGAAAATTATCTAGGTAATTAACTGTGCAATTAAGTGTATGCTCAACACATCGACCCATCTTGGAAATGATTTTCGGTTTGGCAAGAAAAGTTTTAGAAATGTCATTGCAAGTCACTTATTAAAGAAAAATGTCTGGTTCCAACTTCTCCAGTGGGAGGAATTGCTGCTTTTGTCTCTTTTCTATCATTTCTTATGAGGTTTTTGGACTGTTGGTCAAACAAATCCAGCCAAATGAAGATCATTAGTTGCAGCCCTATAATGAAACCTTTTGATGCAAGAAAGTGAAAAGAGACAGCACAGGCAGCGGGGTCACGCTAATCATAACCTCATGGAGAAAGCTACAACGCTCAACCTTGCTTGGATTTTATGCCTCAATGCTGCACTTCAATCAACTTCCACTTTGACCTTATTAGGGGTAACCTTTCACTCTTCAACCAATTAGATAAGACATTACATTGCCAGAGAGGGACTTGTGATAAACAAAAAAGGTCGGAATAGGTTTCGTATAACACTTCTTGATTGATCTTGATAGGACTTTTTCATGGAAGACACTTTGGCATGTGGGAAAAGCACAGGTGTACTTTTGTAGCTGCATGCTGGCTCGCTGTCATTGCTAATGTTATGAGCAACACCTGTGCTTTTTCCACTATGAGAAGTTAATATGTGCTGTGAAAAAGGATCATTGATTCGTTATCACTTGGCCTTTCTGTCTATAATTAGAAATTAGATTGTAATGGACACAGAAAAGTGAAATGCTTCAGAAGAGCACTCCACAAGTTGATGACAACTGTCTTGTTTCAAGGGGATGGTTGACAATACGGAAGCTTGAATCTTGGTGGAAGGTCCCACCACCCTGCGCAAAAAAAAAAGAAGCAATTTGCTCTGATTTGGAGGTGTAGGTGGGGCTGCTGGAACAGCCGATGGATTGTCTCAGCTTATCCTGGCTCGCATGAAGGAATCATCCTGAAAGCCTTTTAGGAAATGGACCCTGGCTTTATGCAGAGCCAATAGATGTTGGCTCTCCAGATCGGCATTCGTCCAAACAGAGCTGGACTGGGCCATGAGCTCTCCTTTATCTTGGCTATTGTGCGATACTTTTGGCGCTTGATTCCTTGCCTACACACACGCAGACACAAGTTGCACATTCACTTTAGGCCACGAGATCAGCAAATAGACGCATTTATGCATATGTGTAGGTGTTCACACAAACAGACACACAAGAGCTGCATAATTACACACAGAGCAGCATAATTATGCTACTCACTCGTGCACTTGCAAAATTATGTGCACACAAATGCAAACTAGCATAATTACATTCACCCACATACAGTACATACACCCACATTACACACACAGGAACAGCTGATCAACTGCATGACCTTCTCTCTTACAATGTTAATGTCACCACCTGGGGGAGGAGGGTGATGGGAAAGAAGGGAGGGGGGGGCCTCGACGGAGTGATGGGAGAAAAGAAGGAGGAAGACGGACAGAGAGGGAGAGCTGCACGATAAGCCTGTCATATGCACCGCCCGCTCACCTGCAGCCTCTCTCATCCGTCTTACCTTGTCAAACATCCCACATTCTGCATGCACGCACATGTACGCACACTTACAAGTGCAGTTTACGTGCATGTACGTGTGCCCTCACTCCACCTTACGCCATGTCACATCCAACATCCAAGCACATCTTCGCACATCACGGTGGGTCGTAACCTAACATTTAGTGTGCATGAACCCTTTTCTGCGTGCATGTGTGTTTGTGTGCGAGGCCTGTGGCTTTCCCGCTGACAGGATCCTGTTATGCCAAATGTCACACTTCCAAAAAGGATTCACCCCCCCACTGAGAAAATGAAGTCAACACCTTCCATCGCTCTTTCTCCCTCTCCTCTCTTGCCTTCTTCACCTTGTCCCTCCATCACTCTCCTCCTCCGCCTCCTGCTTCTTCTTCACCTTCCTTTCAGCCCCCCCTCTCACTTATCCGTTTCTATCCTCTTTTCCGCTCCCTTGAACTATCTCTACCTCACACACATACACACACACACACACAGACACACTCTCACCTTGGTTTGCAGTCCTAAGCAATTTGCTGAATAAAGTCCCCTTTAACTGGCTGGTTCTATCGGATAATTAGTCCTCACCTTGGGAGAGGAGGAGACGACAATAAGAAGAAAAAAAGAGGAAAAAAAGGGGAGGGAAAAGGGTGATTTGGGGAAATCGATAGGGGGTGAGACAGAAGGAGAAGGGTATTGGTGAAAATGAGTGAGAAGCAGATGTGGGGGGCAGGAGGGTAGGTGGAGGGCTTGAACGATAGCGCCGGCAGTGTTGTGAACAGAGCAGGGTTTTTTTTTCTGTCTCTACACCCTCACAGGCCAGCACATGCTATTCCCTTCATCATGTCTCAACGCCTTCAATATTTAATTGTGTTCTGGAAGAAAGAATAAAGGCAAAGAAAAACCCTTCTCATTTAATTCACGATTCACTGGCCGCAGCCGTCAAGGAAACAGTAGAAACCTTGCAAATAGGACGTGAAAGAAGTTATATTTCAAAGTCATCACAGAAAGAAATAAAAAAAAAACATGTAGGTGTGCAATGGAGGGAGGAAACCGGTGCATTATCTTCACTTCTCACTGTAGATTTTGTCTTGAGCAGCTTTTTAATTTGATGTCAGAATGCAAATACTGTAGACAGTCAAAAAACAACTCCAAATCTCTTTCTGTTCCTGGAAGAAGACAACTTAGAAGAGAAATCACACTCCCTTAGCAACAGACAGCACCCTCCAAAAGGGGAAGAAAAAAAACTGTGGTTTTATTTTTAGAAGGTGCAAACAAGGAAAGGGGCGGGGGTTGTAAGATTGTAAATGTCTCTGATGTGTTCAGTCTGTACAACCTTATTCCTGTTAATGGAACTAGCTAGTCTGTCTGTCAGTGCCTATTTACACACAAATGAAGTGGCGAGTAGCACGCGCCCAGTGGAGTTGCTAGCCTCCATCTCAGCTGTCAAAACGGGTTAGTGGCTACAAGCGAAACACCACGATCCCTGGGATCAAACTGGCGCCGTCCGTTCAAACATAATAGCTTCATCCTCGGACATGGAGCGTCTCTTTCCCTTGCTGACTCTCCTCTTAGAACCTCGCCAGCTTGTTGTAAAGTAATAGACTTCTCAGGATGCCAGTTCACACAAATCGGGGATGTAGCCTTTTATTTGCCCTCCGTGGGGAGAGGTGTTTGGAGTAATAGGGATGAAGCAGACCATAACTACAGCTGAATAAATCTTCCTATCTTGGCTCAGTGGAAGCCGGTGCACACATGGCTTGTCAAAGCTCTATAAAATGTTGTTTGATAGGAGTTCTGTACAGTTTAGGACTTCTCCTCCTGCTATCCACTCGCCTCGCTTTCGTTCCGCGCTACAGCGGTTGCAATCAATCAGTGTGTAATCAGCCGTCTTGCTGGAGCTGCCAGGTAATCCTGGCTGTCTTGGTGGCTATCTGTGCATGTGCGCATGTGACAGCTGGCAGAGCTGCTAAGTTGCCTGTCTGGGTGGGTGGATGGCACCATGCAGATTTTCTCTCCACAGTGTGTAAAAGCATATCGGATGATCTGATAGCTGTTGAAATTGTCAAGTGGGATTTGAGAGTGAGGATGGGCATTTTCAGTGCAGATGCCCAAATCCGTGAACTTGAGTCCGAAGAATTGAGTTTAAATTGAGTCTTTTTTTCCACTTTCTCTCTTGTAGACCTGCCTAGAATTGGAGCGTTATCTGCAGACGGAGCCCAAGCGTCTGTCAGAGCTCTTCGACCAAGACCTGGATGGCCTCTTAACTCCTGCCTATCTGAAGGAGGACGGTGAGGAAGAGCTGACAGACTCCCTGCTACCCAGCCTGCCCAGCCTCCCTGAGCCCCCTAGCCCACCTCCATTGATCCTCTGCCCGACACGGAAGAATTTTCCCTCCCCTGGTGCAATGAAAAGAGACCTCAAACCCAAGGGCCAGGGCCTGGAAAATGTAGAAGGGATGGAAGGGGTCCACCAAGCCCAGCTGAGCGCTGTCACCTCGCTGACGCCCCCGTCGTCACCAGAACTGGGCCGCCACCTCGTTAAACCCAACCAGACACTGACGGCCTCGGCTGATGGGACGCTTACCTTGAAGCTGGTGGCCAGGAAGGTGGGGCTTAGCGCAGCCCGTTTGGTGGCGGCGCACGCAATCCCCGTCCGGATTAAGGATGAAGACGAGGGCGCTGCATGTGTGATCGGGGTTGGGGAGCTACCGGAGAACAAGAAGAGGATCCACCGTTGTCAATTCAACGGCTGCAGGAAGGTGTACACCAAGAGCTCCCACCTAAAGGCCCATCAGAGGACACATACAGGTGAGGATCAGAAGGAGTTTGTAGTTTCTTTTTAGATGTAGCTGTATCAGTTAGTGGTATCTGTGAAAGAAGAAGCAGTAGTAGTAGCACTTTGTTAGAGATGGAATATTATTTGGCTATTTTGGGTGCACAGGCCTCTTCAATGTGAAATATCCATGTAATTGTTCGGAATTGTGCACACAGCTCACAATAATAATGTGTAAATGTGTATGCTTGTATATGGAAAAGGAGTTGTATTAAGACAGAGAGTTACATATTAATTGGTGCTCTTGACCCTCTGAGACTTTCAGCAAGGCAGCTCTGAGGACACCTCTCTTACCAGAGGTAGCCACCCGACACACCTGCTGGTGATAAAATTGATTGACACTCATTGTTGGTGACAGGCTAAAAAGGCTCAATCCTGAAGCTAAATGACTGCTGCACACTGAAGAAGGCATAGCCAGAACGGCTGTACTGAACATAGAAACTGAAAGAATAGAAATGAAAGAGCTCTATTTGGATGTGCAGACTATTTTTGTACTTGCTGGAACTCAAACTCTCTTTTTGCCTTTGGATTTTTTCTTGTACCAGTTTTCTTCTGCGAGTGATGTCTTCTTGAAGTCTCAGGCACTCAGACATGTGTACTATATGGGACAGTTTACTTCGGCCTATAAGAGGAAATAAACTATTAGCATTTTTTTACCAAAGAAATATAAAATGTGGGCTCAGTATAGACTGCTATCAGCCTTTATACCTATCTATGGTCCATGTGAGCACTACATCCAGCCTCAAGGGACCAGCTTTCGGAATTCCTAGATAACCTGACTTTTGAGATAATTGGGGAAAATCCACCTGCTTCACATTCTTGGAACAAGCCCAAAATGCACATAAAGTGATAAGAAATATGAAGAAAAAAACAGCCCAGTAATCATGGAATGTGCTTAAAGCCTGGTCCCTTTGGTACCACATAAATATTGCCATGTAAGGTTAAATTATGATGATAAAAAAAAAACCCACTTCTCTTATCCCGCTCTTTCTACCTAAATACTTCTCCCTGCCAAACCAGGACGGGCCCTCCTTGTCAAGGTTCTTCTCAAGAAGGAAGGGGGGAGGGTTCAGGAGCTATAACTCTCTCGCTCTTCCATCTCAATCCCAAACCACTCAGACCCCTGTCGGGGAGCTGTCCTCCGTCTGAGTAACTGCACAGTGATGGATGGATTGACCTGGATAGGCCGCCATTTCCCTGGTTTATTTCAAGCCCTCCCGTGCTCTATGCGTTCTATAAGTCTAGGTCAGTGATTCTCAATCTGAGGTTAGAGACTGCCTGATTTAGCAAGGGTGGTAATAGGATCATTTTAAGATCAAGAAAATATGTTTCAAATATAATGAGTGTATTGTAATCTTAGGAGGCAGGTCATGAGGGATACCATCTGTACGCTTATTCCAAAAACAAAACATGTTGGCATCTGTGTTTGCCGTTTATAAATTAGCAGGGTTAGGGTTCAGCATCCTTTTGCCTTCGGGTTTTGTCCACACTAAGCACATTAGGAGTGTTTATTTGAACTCTTGAATGTTTCCTCTTCTCCTCCTTGGTTTGGTTGGAAAGGTGTGAACAATGTGTCTACCCCCATCTAAGAGAGGCATTCAGGGATATAATGAGATGAGCACGACAGCTGATGGGAAGCCATTGCTCATGCTCAGAAGGGCTGAATAACAAATTAAATGTAACAATCTTAACCTATGGAGGTACAGCAAAGAGCGTCCATCATACTAAATTAAGTTAAAGGGACTCAAATTAGATTTTATTGCCACCCACCATCTAAATCCCTAAACCTAATTGTTGACAGATCACCAAGACTGCTCAGTTCACAACCTACACATGACTTGTTTACTAGATCTGGCTCACATGTATTGTATGATCAACTTATCACTTTCTGTATGTTCAGAATTAAGAAACGGCACTGTATGTGTGATCACACCCTCGATGGTGCACACCACAGGTTCAAGCATCAGCCTGACTGAAACAAAAAGCACAGACATGCAATCATTGATTTCCCCAGTGTGGCGTGTCTACACCTCCTGTGCTTAAACTCCATGCCAACTGGACCAACGCTGGGAGACCAGTGCCACAGATGTCACAATATCCATACATAGCATTGTATTTTGAGCTTGTTAGCATGTTGATGTTATCATTTGGCTCAAAGCACTAATGTGTATAGCCTCACAGACGTGTTTTATCTCTTTCTTTCTTTCTTTTTTTGATTTTTGTATTCATTAATTAATAATCATTTTATCATTTCATGTCAGAAAAAGACTTCCCAGATCCCAAAGAAACTTCCTCACATTGCACATTCAGTCTAAACAATCTAAAATATTTAGAATGATATAAAACAGATACATGCATTTTTGCTTGGAAACTGTCTTGAACCATTAATTGATTAATTTCAAGATTAAGAGAGCAGAGGATAGAGATGAAGACAGCACCACCACACACACACACACAGGGACTATTCCATACATTGTTTTTTAGGAAAATCCTACTTAGTATGGCTTTAAAATTTGATAGGATAATGATTTAATGACATATAATGTTACATATAGCATAAAGTGCTCAGTTTCTTGAGGAATCCTTCCCCCGCATGCTTATCCTTGTCACATAAGGTGCTTTAGATAAAAGCATCTACCCAAAGCACATCTGTCTTTGACATTCAAACCAGGAAGGTAGAATGATAAAAGGGGGAAATGTCGACATAAGATGACAAAGGAACACACAAAAGCTAAAGAAAAAAGGCAGAAGAATAGGATAGAGTGACGCGGAGTGAAACAAAGAGTAGATGAAGACAGAAGACAGGAATGGGGGAGGTACAGTAGAGCGACCCTCTTCAGAAAAAGACAGCAGTGCCACAGGCTCCCCCATTCACTGAGCCATTATCCTGACAAGTTTAAAGATGTCATTACTCAAATCCTCTTTTTCTTAGTTGTTATTTCCATAAATTACCAACGTAGAAAAGGCTACGATTTAATCTGGAATTAGACTGGCTGAGTTGAAATGACAGTGCCCTGTAGAGCTTTTTGTGAATAGGCTTATGGCAGATAAGGAATGGTACAATTAGATTTTGGGCAGGGTGAGGGAACGGGTAAAACACGAGGACTGTTCTTCCTTCTCTCTCTCTCTTTCCCCCCTGCTCCTCATCTGCCTCGCTCTCTCGCTCTTTCCATGTTTCTACTCTCTCTACTTCTCTCCCTATTTTGCTCTATATCAGTCTTTTCATAGCATGTCTGTCTCCGTGTGTGCATCTCTCTCACACTCTCATTTTATTGCCACTCTCTCTCTCTTTAAGCTGAGGCCAAGAAGAAAATACCTAACTGCAATTTTTCAGACCAATATTGCACTTGTTTTCTATAAATTAAACTTCAGGCCTGTACTGGTGGCTCATAGTATTAAACAAGATATCTTTTTATCTCCTCACAGACTTACACTATTTACAAAGGTCTGGAAGTTTTACAGAAACATTAACTAATTCAGGGCACATACTGTGTCGTACTGTATTATTCAAATGTAATCATGGCATTCGTAAGTGCAACTATGTTCATTGATAACAGCTACATGGTTGATGGTAAAAGTGATTAACTAAGCTCACAACAGACTGACATGCAGGTCCCCATTTAAAGCTTTTAAGGTGATAAGTTTAAAACAATGTTATGATGTTCTTAAATGTTTCACTGGGAGATTCTGACAATTCTGCCTGCCAGTTGTTTGTCATTTAAACTTATAAGCTACCAAAAATATACAGCCTGAGACTCAGAAACATTATGAAAGTCATTATTAATAATGAAGTTTAAAAAATTAAGTACAATTGTGATTCTTGCAATTTGAGAATTGCCCTTCCAATATAAAGATGTTTTTCTTTCAGCCCTAGTTTTCAATCATCCTCATGGCTCTCTCTAACATACTTCATCAGTTCTTTCTCTGTTAACCTGTTTCTCTCTTCCTTTTCCTCTTCTTCCTTTCGCTCATCTCTAAGCTTGCAGAGCTAGTTGTGGGCAGGGGCCTGTAAAACATTCTCCAAGACCCTCTATAATGACCTCTGAGACCCGGATGCCCTGCTTCAGCTCCAGCTAATGGAGGGAATGCAATTAACTTCAACGCTGGCACCTGAGAGGCTGGAGTGAGTGCGTTTGTGTGTGCATGCATGTGTGTTTGTA